TAATATATATATATATATATATATATATATATATATATATATATATATATATATCATTCACAGACAGAGTGTTTCGCTGTATCACACCTCATCAGTGTGGCTAGACTGGAAGAAACTCAACTGATTTTGTATCAGTCGGAGATTCTAACCCCAAGGCCATCGACGCCCGGTAGAGAGAAAGCCGAATTTTTGCGTATTTATTTTTCCGTCTTTCAGAGAAATCAATTGCGAGAAGAGTCTTGCATTATCAGCAGTAATAGTGACTTTCTATATATATATATATATATATATATATATATATATATATATATATATATATATATAAAAACTTTTTCAACTTTGTCCTGTCTTTTTTTTTTACCCAAAAATGAAATTTTAAATTCATCTGTAGATTTTATCTCTTCTCTTTTGTATTTCGTTCCCCTTCATAAATAAAATTCTTTCAGTAGAAACATTGTTTAATGCGAAGAATTTCTTTTGAAGAACAACATGCGTCACACAGGATTTTCCCGTCATGTCATTCATTTACCCACGATTTGTCTGATATGCAGAGTTTATTAATCGTACTCTCCTGTTAAAAGCACTCCAACCAATATTTATGTATTTACGCGTGGTTGCATATGTGTATTTCTGAGTAAAATATAAACCAAAATTAAAAATTTATTCATCAATAAAGGTACATATTGAAATTATCGGGTTATTGATTTCCTTTGCGTTGTTCCTTGAAGAAATAGTGTGTAGGGACACAAAATACGATTATCGCCCTTTGGTTAAGATAAAGTCGCGAAGGTCAGTTGACGGTAGACGAGTAGAGACAGGGTATAGTTTGAAGTCAGAGCAGAGAGCAAAGAAGGGCATTTGGGATGTAAATGAAGAAGGCAGTCACAAATTCACAACGATAGAGCTTACAAAGAGAACCACATGGCCTCACCTGGAACATAGAGAAACCGCTGTCCTGTCAGTTGTCCCTTCCTTTTTTTTATATACGCCTTTTCACACTGTTTGTTGTTGTATACATTTGTTATAATCTCTCAATCTTGGACAAGTGTAAATATGTGTATATAATTTGTGTATGACTTATTTGAGAACGCATCAGCTTTATCATTCCTTTTCTTTTTGCTATTCTGTTCCGTCAGTGTGTTAAGGTGTTACTATATATGCTCATAATGGGAGTTACGCAAACAGGATATATTCATTTCTGGGCTGGCACTCTCATTAACCGTATGAAGGATGGGTTCTTGGCGCGAAAACTGTCGTTAAAGCGAGAACTTTAGAGAGAAATATAGGTAACAAATGGCAACGCATTGTTTCAGGGTAATATTAAAAAAAATGCATCGAAAGAGAGCGTTTTAATATTAGAAAAAGGAAAGAAAAATTCTATAATGAAACAAGTGAACAACGACAGTTCATGGCAATTTAATGTTTCTCGCGCCAAAATAGCGCCATTATCGCCCAGACTGCATCACAACTACCGTCTAATTAATATTTTACCGGTTTCTTTGTATTCGTCTTTGTGAGAAGGCGCTTCGTGACGATTTCAAGGCGTTTCACCAGAGAAGTCTTTCTGTTTTATTTAATTTCTCTTTGACGCTTTACAGTCGTTTATGACTAAAAACCTTAGTGACTTGTTATTATGCGTAGGCACGCGTGAAGATAATTAGCGCGACGTAGTTCCGCCATTTTGTTTCCCGCTGGTTCTCTTTCGTTAAAGCAAGCAGTTAGCATTTCTTTTTGCCGATTTCTTTTTTTGCATAGATACATTGTTTGCTTGCTTCATGCAGATTTATATTGCGGAATTAATTTTTCTAGGGCGGAAGTTAAGAAAAAAAAAAATGAAGTACAGTTTGCCCTTGAATTTTATGTGTAGTCCGTAATCTTTCAGAATGTCACATAAAACCGTTTTCATTTTATTAAAACAGAAGTCAGTTACCAATAGAAACGGAGAAGAAAAATATATGTAAATATATTTAATCATACTTATTATAAAATCCAGGTTGTGTGTGTGTCTGATCGGATTTCCTACATTTTTCAGCCGATTTCAACAAAACTTCACAGGACTATGTAAAATGTCCTTGCGGTGGTTCTGACAGTGCCGAAAATTGGAAAAGCACAATTGATTTGCACGAAATCAATTTGAAAACACGATTAAGAGGCATCGCTGTTTCGAGAATGAAAGGGGGACAACTCATATCGAGTTATACTTATTATAAAACCCAGGTTGTTTGTGTGTGTGTTCGTTTATATATGGGATCGGATTTCCTACATTTTTCAACCGATTTCAATAAAACTTCACTTTTGTGGGGGCAGGTAGTGTTTCTTATTGTCTTGCACACCTTTTTCTTTGTTTTTACATTCAGAATTCCATTTACAAAACAATTGTTTATAATAAAATTGAAAAATTCTATTCAATCGGTAGACTCATAACGATTGAAAATAATGTTTTTCTTTGAGTTTGTGTTTGACCAATTCGTAAAAAAAAAAAAAACTAATTAAGATATGCGTGTCCGTCAACCTTAAACAATAATCTTTGTCAATTTTATTTTTTTAGTCTTTATGATGGTCGATACTTGATCTATCTCTTACTGTTACATCCCCGGGCAACGCCTGGCTCTACTGCTAGTATTAACTGAAAATGCTATGCTGGAAATTAAGTCTTATTAGATTTACTTTCTTGCATGTAAATCGAGTTACACTTGTTTTCACTCACGACGCCAAACTCTTTCAGAAATATCTCTACTGTCAGCTGTATATTTTGTGTCTCATTGGCGATGGTTCGAGGTAATCCTTTTTCCATCATTGCGGCTGGCAGAGGATCGCAAAAAAATATTTATAGTTACTTTGTTCAAACATTTTTTTTCAATAAATTATAAATGGATAGATGTCATTCGGCTGTATATTTTGTGTCTCATTGGCGATGGTTCGAGGTAATCCTTTTTCCATCATTGCGGCTGGCAGAGGATCGCAAAAAAATATTTATAGTTACTTTGTTCAAACATTTTTTTTCAATAAATTATAAATGGATAGATGTCATTCGAAAAGACAATAATGACGTAATCAAGATGTTGATGTTCCACACGACACGGAACAAAAGTTTAAGGAAACGCCAGTTTAATACTCGAAAAACCGATAACAGTGGAATTGGGAAAACTACTTTCCTGGAAACTCTTTTAGAAGAAAGGTGTTAAAAATTTGAACTGACAGTAATCCTTTTAAGAAAACGGCTATTCTCGCCATTGTCACTCCCATATACAGATCTCTCTAATATTGCTGCCGCATATGGTCCGGTGTCCCTGCTAATTACCTTGAGCTCTTTGATAAGATCCCAAAAAAAGAATCAGCAATATTATTGGTCCTGATCTGGCAGCTCAGCTCCAGTCACTTTCCCACCGCCGTAAGGTTGCCTCTCTATGTCTTTTCAATAAATAGTCATGTTAATTGGATGAACTCATCGCTGTGCTTATTGGCCCCTTTTATTTCTGTCCCTATTTCTCTTTAGTTTAATTCCTTATCCCTTCCCTCGTTAGATGGGGAGTGATGTCAGTTCTCTGGTGGATGCGGGGTGCCTTTCGTTTCGGGTGTGTTTTTCGTATTTGTTATTGTGCCTGGATGGGTTTGAGTGAGTGTTTGGGATGAATGATTGATTTTATATTATTAATATTAAGTATTACATTATTAGTATTAATTTCGTCCAGTTAACTGATGTTTCTGCCATATTTTAGAGATTGCTGGTGTTATTACTGACATTATTCTGTGTAGTTTCTTGTAACTAGTTTTGTTTTCATAGTGTATATACTCATTGGGCTAGTTTTAAATTGTTGTTTTATTCCCCACCCCCAGACAATGAATTGTACATATTGAGACTAGATGGATTATCATAGAGACAATGTGGTATTATGGTGGATGTAGTAAGAAAGTTAAGTAAGAATGTATTGTTTTGATGTTAGGAATATTGTGGCATGTTTGGATCAGTGTTTGTGGCTAGCTAAGTTAAGACAGACAAAAACCGTCCTTTTCCCCATTCCTTATTTTAACCTTGTACAACATTTTCCCAAATGAATATCGCTCCTCGCCATGGTACCTAATTTTTTTTTTAACCTTAGCGCAGCACTAGACTGGCGTCGAGATCTCATCAATTTACATTTGAGCTGGATCGAAATAGCCGTAAGTTCTATGCTAACTGTTTCTTCTCTCTCACTTCTCGCTTGTGGAACTCCCTTCCGACTCCCTGCTTTCCAGCCAACTTTAATCTGCAAAAGTTTAAATGCTATGTCAATCGCTATCTACTGTCCACTTGATTACACTTTTCTCTTTCTGATCATCATTAATGTTTCTGTTCCGAATTCTTTCACACCCTGTAAACCTCTTGTGTTTTAATAGCTGCACCGCCTTGCTTGGGTTGATACCGATTTAAAAAATTCTGTTTGCTCAATGAATGCTAAATATTTACTTATTAGAAAACGGCTAATCACGCCAAGAAAATATATAGTACCCAAAATGGATTCTTTTTTCTTTCTTTCTTTCTTTTTTCTTTCTTTCTTTTTTTTTTTTTTTAACTTTTTTAAAAGTACGAATGGCAGCAAAATTTTGGACTTTAAATAGCATACACATAAGGCTATCGCTTTGATCTTGATCGTGGATTTATTGCTTCGTCTTGTGTCCCATAAAGTTGAAACGAATATCTTTTTTTTTTCTTCTTCTTTTTTTTTTGTCCCGGCCCGGTCTTACCCGACCCTGTTTAGTGAGTAGATAGAAAACAGCCCTATCTCTGTTCAACACGGTTTCACTTCAAGACAAATCGCTCTGTGTGCATTTGGCCGATTTTTGAAACCAGGCTTTTAGGATTTCTAGAACAAACTGTGAAAAGCTGATAAAGTTACAAAATCATAAAATAAACCCTCCAAATGTTAAATGAGGAAAATTAATAAGTAAAAGATACAATCGACTAAATTATCTTTTGAAAGGATTTGCTTGCAGAAAAAAAGCATGTTTTAATCTTTTAGGCTTTCGCTTTCACATATCTTTCATTTTTTTTTCCGTTCTTCTCTTTTTGAATTTGATTCTCTTCGTGAAAAATTGTTTCTTTAACGAATTTTTCTTTCTATTATGTTGGTTTTTTTTCTTTCTTTTTTTCTTTCTTTTTTTCTTTCTTTTGTTCTTTCTTTCTTAAACCTTTTGCTTGCATTCATTTCTTTTCTCATATATTTCCTTTCTTTCTTTCATAATACTCTTGCTGGTTTTCACTTCCTTTTTCTTATCTATATTCTTTCTTTCTTTCTTTTTTTATTCTTTCTTTCTATTTTTTTTTTCACTTTCTTAGTTTATTTGTTTCTTTTCTTTCTTTTTTCGTTCTTTGTTTTATAACACGGTTGCATTCACTTCTTTTTCTCGTCTATTTTCTTTCTTTCTTTCTTCCTTCCTTCTTTCCTTCCTTCTTTATTCCTGCCGCCTTTCTTTCTTTCTTTCTTTCTTTCTTTCTTTCTTTCTTTCTTTCTTTCTTTCTTTCTTTCTTTCTTCCTTCTTTCCTTTCTTTCTTTATTCCTTTCTATCTTTATATCTGCAGCCTTTTTCTTTCTTTCTTTTTTCCTTCTTTCTTTCTTTCTTTCTTTCTTTCTTTCTTCATTTTAGTTTTATTCTTTCTTTCTCCCGCCTTTCTTCCTTCTTTATTTCTTTATTCCTGCCACCTTTCTTTCTTTCTTTCTTTCTTTCTTTCTTTCTTTCTTTCTTTCTTTCTTTCTTTCTTCCACCTTCCTTCCTTCCTTCCTTCCTTCCTTCCTTTCTTTCTTTATTTCTTTCTTTCTTTATGTCTGTCGCCTTTTTCTTTCTTTCTTTCTTTCTTTCTTTCTTTCTTTCTTTCTTTCTTTCTTTCTTTCTTTCTTCCTTCTTTCCTTTCTTTCTTTATTTCTGCCGCCTTTTTCTTTCTTTCTTTCTTTCTTTCTTTTCTTTCTTCTTTTCTTTCTTTCTTTCTTTCTTTCTTTCTACCCCATTGTTCCTCCTTTCCTTCCTTCCTTCCTTCCTTCCTTCCTTCCTTCCTTCCTTCCTTCATTCTTTCCTTTCTTTCTTTCTTTCTTTCTTTCTTTATTCCTTCTTTTTTCTTTCTTCCACCTTACTTCCTTCCTTCCTTCTTTCCTTCCTTCTTTATTTCTGCCGCCTTTCTTCTTTCTTTCATTCTTTCTTCCCCCTTCCTTCCTTCCTTCTTTCCTTCCTTTTTTATTTCTGCCGCCTTTCTTCTTTCTTTCTTTTCTTTTTTTCTTTCCCCTTTCTTCCTTCTTTTTTTACTTTCTTTCTTTATTTCTTTCTATCTTTATTTCTGCCGCCTTTTTCTTTCTTTCTTTCAGTTTTATTCTTTCTTTCTTCCCCCTTTCTTCCTTCTTATTTCTTTATTCCTGCAACCATTCTTCTTTCTTTCTTTCTTTCTTCCCCCTTCCTTCCTTCCTTCCTTCCTTCCTTCCTTCCTTCCTTCCGTTCTTTATTTCTGCCGCCTTTTTCTTTCTTTCTTTCTTTCTTTCTTTCTTTCTTTCTTTCTTTCTACCCCATTGTTCCTCCTTTCCTTCCTCCTTCCTTCCTCCTTCCTTCCTTCCTTCCTTTCTTTCTTTCTTTCATCTTTATTCCTTCTTTTTTCTTTCTTCCACCTTCCTTCCTTCCTACCTTCTTTCCTTCCTTCTTTATTTCTGCCGCCTTTCTTCTTTCTTTCTTTTCTTTCTTTCTTTCTTTCTTTCTTTCTTTCTTTCTTTCTTTCTTTCTTTCTCCTTTCTTCCTTCCTTCTTTACTTTCTTTCTTTCTTTCTATCTTTATTTCTGCCGCCTTTTCTTTCTTTCTTTCTTTCTTTCTTTCTTTCTTTCAGTTTTATTCTTTCTTTCTTCCCCCTTTCTTCCTTCTTACTTCTTTATTCCTGCCACCATTCTTCTTTTTTTCTTTCTTTCTTTCTTTCTTTCTTTCTTTCTTTCTTTCTTCCCCCTTCCTTCCTTCCTTCTTTCCTTCCTTCCTTCCTTCCTTTATTTCTTCTTTTCTTTATTTCTGCCGCCTTTTTCTTTCTTTCTTTCTTTCTTTCTTTCTTTCTTTCTTTCTTTCTTTCTTTCTTTCTTTCTCCTTCCTTCCGTCTTTATTTCCTTCCTTCCTTTCTTTCTTCCTTCTTTCCTTCCTTCTTTCCTTTCTTTCTTTCTTTCTTTCTTTATTTCTGCCGCCTTTTTCTTTCTTTCTTTCTTTCTTTCAGTTTTATTCTTTCTTTCTACACCATTGTTCCTTCCTTCCTTCCTTCTTTCCTTTCTTTATTTCTTTCTTTCTTTATGTCTTTTCTTTCCCCTTTCTTTCTTCCTTTCTTCCTTCTTTCCTTTCTTTCTTTCTTTCTTTCCCCTTTCTTCCCTCCTTCCTTCCTTCTTTCCTTTCTTTCTTTATTTCTTTCTATCTTTATTTCTGCCACCTTTTTCTTTTTTCTTTCTTTCTTTCTTTCTTTCTTTCTTCATCCTTCCTCAGTCATTTCCTTTTTTCTTTTTTCCTCTATTCCTTTTGAGCATCACTTTTTCTTTTCTTTTCTTTTTTTCTTTCCCTATCCTCTTTCAGTTTTAATCTCTCAGTCTTTTCCCAACATTATTTTCTGACAAGCCTTCTTTATGGACTTACATAAGTGATTAATTGTATGAATTCGTTAGAGCCGGCCTCATTTTGTTTATCACTCTTCTCCACACATGTACATTTTAATAATGTCAGCATTTTCTCCTCTCGGATTCCCGGGGGCCTGGGTCATCGACAGGGATATCCAATTAACTCATATCAATTTTTAAGGGTGGGTTCCGAGATGTGAAAACTAAAGCAATTCGCCTTATTCAACAAAGTATCTCCTCATCAGAAGCTCAAATACGTATAACCAATCGCATTTCAGTCCGACTCAAGGTTACCTCATTATTCCACGCCTAACCAAGTGGTCATGGTTCGATCCCACATAAAAATCCAAAATGTCGGCAGTTAAAATATTGGCACACTAACCTAGTGGACTATACCGTTGGTTCATAAGTTTAGTCATATAGTAACTGGAAGTTCAGTCTCTGGGCCGGGCAGTTAATACTTGAAATTAGTGGAAAACAAGGAGAGCAATAACTGAGCAATACTAAATTAGAAAGAGACGAAATTCATTGCAGTTTACTCGGATCGACAAAAACCAATGAGATTCGGGGGGGGGGGTCACAATGGCCAAAACGGCGTAATAACAGAAAATAGATCACGTGTAAATAAAATATTTACATAATAAAAATTAATTTTTCCTATTCTTGTGCAAAATTTAGATAAGCTCAACATATGCATAAACATTATCCATTCTTCTATCATCTGTTTTTCTTGTGATGGGAGCAGACTGTACATCTGCTACTAAACAGTGTAAACAAACAATATAGCTTGAATCGACTAGAAGATAATGAAGAATGTAAATATATAACTAAATTGGAAAGGCATTTCTTGGTTGGTTTCCGTAGCCTATTTGGTAAGGTGCTGTCCCGGAGAGATAACAATCCAACTATTGGGTATATAAGTTCAATTCCATTTAGACGTGACATCTTTATTTTCAAAATTCGATGCTTACTTACAGATCGTACAATATAAAGGTGAAGTGATGTTTGATGAACAGCCACAAAAATGAGATGAAAGATAAACTTGTAAAGGTAAAATGCTCGGATTTTGCATGAATTTTGTCAAAACAGACCGGTATTCCTCACTTGAGTGAATGACACAGTAAAATCATACTATACTTGTCCATATGGCCAGGAGTTTTGAATTTTGAATTTTTAAAGAACATTTTAAACTTAATTTTTATACATTTTGTAACGTTTTACCATGTTTCTATATTTCGTTCAGTTTTATCAAATTTCTTATTTTCTGTATTTCTTACCGTTTACCAGGTTTCTCTATATCGTACTGTTTTACCGGCTTTCTATAGTTCTTACCGTTTCCCCAGGTTTCTGTATTTCTTAATGGTTTACCAAGTTTCTGCATTTTTACTGTTTTACCAGGTTTCTCTATTTCATACTATTTTACCGGCTTTCTATAATTCTTACCTTCCCCAGGTTTCTGTATTTCTTAATGGTTTACCAAGTTTCTGCATTTTTACTGTTTTACCAGGTTTCTCTATTTCATACTGTTTTACCGGCTTTCTATAGTTCTTACCGTTTCCCCAGGTTTCTGTATTTCTTAATGGTTTACCAAGTTTCTGCATTTTTACTGTTTTACCAGGTTTCTCTATTTCATACTATTTTACCGGTTTTCTATAATTCTTACCTTCCCCAGGTTTCTGTATTTCTTAATGGTTTACCAAGTTTCTGCATTTTTACTGTTTTACCAGGTTTCTCTATTTCATACTATTTTACCGGCTTTCTATAATTCTTACCTTCCCCAGGTTTCTGTATTTCTTAATGGTTTACCAAGTTTCTGCATTTTTACTGTTTTACCAGGTTTCTCTATTTCATACTATTTTACCGATTTTCTATAATTCTTACCGTTTCCCCAGGTTTCTGTATTTCTTAATGGTTTACCAAGTTTCTGCATTTTTACTGTTTTACCAGGTTTCTCTATTTCATACTGTTTTACCGGCTTTCTATAATTCTTACCGTTTCCCCAGGTTTCTGTATTTCTTAATGGTTTACCAAGTTTCTGCATTTTTACTGTTTTACCAGGTTTCTCTATTTCGTACTGTTTTACCGATTTTCTATAGTTCTTACCGTTTCCCCAGGTTTCTGTATTTCTTAATGGTTTACCAAGTTTCTGCATTTTTACTGTTTTACCAGGTTTCTCTATTTCGTACTGTTTTACCGATTTTCTATAATTCTTACCGTTTCCCCAGGTTTCTGTATTGATTAATGGTTTACCAAGTTTCTGCATTTTTACTGTTTTACCAGGTTTCTCTATTTCGTACAGTTTTACCGGCTTTCTATAATTCTTACCGTTTCCCCAGGTTTCTGTATTTCTTAATGGTTTACCAAGTTTCTGCATTTTTACTGTTTTACCAGGTTTCTCTATTTCATACTGTTTTACCGGCTTTCTATAATTCTTACCATTTCCCCAGGTTTCTGTATTTCTTAATGGTTTACCAAGTTTCTGCATTTTTAATGTTTTACCAGGTTTCTCTATTTCGTACTGTTTTACCGGCTTTCTATAATTCTTACCGTTTCCCCAGGTTTCTGTATTTCTTAATGGTTTACCAAGTTTCTGCATTTTTACTGTTTTACCATGTTTCCTTATTTCGTACTGTTTTACCGGCTTTCTATAATTCTTAACGTTTCCCCAGGTTTCTGTATTGATTAATGGTTTACCAAGTTTCTGCATTTTTACTGTTTTACTAGGTTTCTCTATTTCGTACTGTTTTACCTGCTTTCTATAGTTCTTACCGTTTCCCCAGGTTTCTGTATTTCTTAATGGTTTACCAAGTTTCTGCATTTTTACTGTTTTAACATGTTTCTCTATTTCGTACTGTTTTACCGGCTTTCTATAATTCTTACCGTTTCCCCAGGTTTCTGTATTGATTAATGGTTTACTAAGTTTCTGCATTTTTACTGTTTTGCCAGTTTTCTCTATTTTGCACTGTTTTACCAGTCCTCGGTGTTTCGTAACATTTTTGCAGGTACCTGTATTGCGTACTGTTTTACGGGATTTCTGTATTTTCGTAACATTTTACCAGGTTTCTCTATTTCGTAGCGTTTTACGAGGTTTCTGTATTTTCTACAGTTTTCCCAGGTTTCTTTTTTAGTTTATACCGTTTTTACCAGGTATCTGTATTTCTTACCGTTTTACCAACATTCTGTTTTTCATACAGTTTTACCAGCCTTCGGTATTTCGTATGGTTTTACAAGCTTTCTGTGTGCTTCACAGTTTTCCAGCTTTCTGTAATTCTTACTTGTTTACTATGTTTTTCTATTTCTTATAGTTTTACTAGCTTTCTTTATTTCTTATCGCTTGACCATCTTTCGGTATTTCGTACCGTTTTACCAGCTTTCAGTACTTTGTACCGTTTTACAAGCTTTCTGTATTTCTTACAGTTTTTCAAAGTTTTTTTTCGTACATTTTAACTATGTTTCTCTATCGTGTTACCGGTTTTCTGGATTTCTTACCGTTTTTCTAGGTTTCTGTATTTTGTAACGTTTTTCCAAGTTTCTTTATTTCGAACCGTTTTACCGGGTTTCTGTGTTTCGTGTTGTTTTTCTAGACTTCTGTATTTTGTAACGTTTTCCTAAGTTTCTATATTTCTTACCATTTTACCAGGTTTCTATATTTCTTACGTTTTTCCAAGGTTTCTGTAGTCCGTACCGTTTTACCAGCTTTCTGTATTTCGTACCGTTTTAACAGGCTTCTGTATTTCGTACCGTTTTACCAGCTTTCCGTATTTCGTACCATTTTACCAGGCTTCTGTATTTTGTAACGTTATACAAGTGTTGTGGTACGATCCACCTAATTTACATAGTGGGGTACCGACCATATAAATATGGGTTGGTACCGGGAAAACGGGTGCTGAAGAAGAGATCCAATCCAGAGACTCTGCCCGACTGCGACTAAGTCAACCCATTCTACAGGAACGGTCTTCCCAAGAATATACCAAACTATCTGTAAATATTGTGTACACGTTCTTGTGTCAATACATTTTGTTTAAGTACATATTGTGTTGTATTATTATTATTCAATGCTTTATTCAAGTTTCAACAATAAGGTTTCTGTCTTTCGCACTGTTTGTAGAGGTTTCTTTACTTCTAACTGTTTTCTAAAAGTTCTGTGTTTCGTACCGTTTCGCTTGGTTGGTTTCTGTAATTCTTGTGGTGTTCCCAGGTTTCTTTAGTAATAAATACACATAAATACACCTATTACATATTACCGGTTCTATATTTCTCCCTACATTAAACCGACCTTGTTCAAACAGTACCTCGTGGGGGTTGAGTAAATACAAATTACTCTCGAGTAGTTTGTAACACGTTTTTTTTACCATCTGTCTTTGGGCAGAGTGCGCTAAGGGGTGTCTCCGTCAAAAGACAGAGTCGCAACTGAGAAAATTTACACAGCGTCGTACCCAGCTCCGAGTGAGATCGGTGCTCGCACTGAGGCCAGCGCAAACAAGAGTTACAAGGATAGGGCAATTTTTGTTTCTAGCTCGGATGTACGTGCTCGGGCTCCCCACATTAAACCGACCTTGTGTCAGAACGTGACTCCGTGGCGGGTCAGTTAGATACCAAATTACTATAAAGTAGTTTGTAATACGTTTCTGTCATCTCTCAGTTGAATGTCTGTCTTCGAGCAGAGTGCTATCAGGGGCGGATATGTCGAAGGACAGAGTCGTAACCAAGGAAAATTATACTGAGAGGTGCCGGCCCTGGAAAAGAGCTGCCCGAGGCTGTGCTTTCTCATTGCACAAGAGAGATGGGTCGGTGCTCGCACTGATGGCAGAGCAACCGATGTTAGCTGGGGCTCGGGAACTTTCGTTCCTAGCCCGGGTGTACGCGCTCGGGCTCCCCACATTAAACCAACCTTGTGTTACAACGCGACTCCGTGGGGTGTCGAGTAAATGCCAAATTACTATAAAAGAGAGCTGTGCTTTTTATTCTCAGAACTTGTAGAATTGTGCTCCAATTTC